TGCTGGTGGTGCTGGTGGTGGTGGTGGTGCTGGTGGTGCTGGTGGTGGTGCTGGTGCTGGTGGTGCTGGTGCTGGTGCTGGTGCTGGTGCTGGTGCTGGTGCTGGTGCTGGTGCTGGTGCTGGTGCTGGTGCTGGTGCTGCTGGTGGTGCTGGTGGTGCTGGTGCTGGTGCTGCTGGTGGTGCTGGTGGTGCTGGTGGTGCTGGTGCTGCTGGTGGTGCTGGTGGTGGTGCTGGTGGTGCTGGTGGTGCTGGTGGTGGTGGTGGTGGTGCTGCTGCTGGTGGTGGTGGTGGTGCTGGTGGTGCTGCTGCTGGTGGTGGTGGTGGTGGTGCTGTTGTTGTTGTACTGGGGTTCCCAAGGAGTTGGGAGGTTTTTCAGTCGACTGGTCTCCCTCTGAGTGATGTCCTGCTGCTGCGCTCTCTCTTCGTCTCTCGGTCCGCGACCCAAGCGGCTTTCCTCGAATGCCCTGGGATGAACGACTCGACTCTCGACGGACGGGGAGAGTCTCGGGCAGGGAGAGTCTCGACAAAAGAAGGGTACCACATTTGGAGGAACTAGAGTGAAAAAAGGCAGGTTCTCACTACAGTTTGACCAGTTCTGTCTGAAGTATGTCATCCAAAACCTGCTCTGTTTCAAAAGAAAACGATGCAATATAGATCTGTTCTCTGTAGTTTGTTTGCCTCGCAGTTGGTCTTTTGGGCATCTGTGTCTGCGGACAACTAGGACAACTCTTTAAATCAGCTGAGGCAGCTGGGGCTGTTGCGGCGATTGAAAACCTGCTACCTGCGGCTGCGGTGCTGACTTGCCCTAAGGATTCGCAGCCTCAAAAACAAGGGTTTTGAGTCAAGTCATGAGGTACAAACCCATAGAGGCTTCGACCCCTTCCAAGGAGGGTCCAAGGATGGGTGTGAAGGAAAAGACTCTCGACCTACAAATCTGCAACCATCTTCCGCTTGTCGGGGGGGCCACCCTCCCAGGGTGCTCAAAACGATCAAGACCTCAGGTGACTCGATGCTCGCCCTGAGGCAACGTCACTCGGGTCGACCCAGTCGGTGACAGTCCGAGTCGGCAACGACTGAACAGGTCGACCGGTCGTGTGGTTCGGGTCACACGAGAAAAGCCACTCCGTTGGACATGGTAGCTATGTCTTGAAGCAACTGTCAGGGTTTTGAAACCGTTGCCAATCACTCAGGGCTTCTCTGAAATCTACATAAAGACTTGTACAGGGCTCGTTCTGAGCAGTTTCTCAGCCATTTGACAACAAATACCATGTCCTATGGGGGTGTGCATGAGAGTTCACGCATCCCAAGCCAGTCCAAGCTGCACGAAAGCGGAGATACACAGCCCAAACCGGGGGGGCTAGTCGAACGCGGAGACCCTCCAACCACTGGGTTTTGGTGATTGGCTGTCGACATCATGAAGCCCCAGGTTCATTCTTTGTGATTCCGTGCAGGATTCAAAAATGGCTCTCCTATCCCCCAAAAATCAGTCAAAAACCTCCCAGTCATCAACCCAAAACATCCCAAACCCTCCCGCTTGGACTGGGCGCGTCCATCGGCTTCCCGCGCTTTCGGCGTTTGGACGCGCTTCCCGCGCCTGTCGAACGTCCTCCGAACTGGGCGTCGGCCCAGCGGAGGTGCTGACAGAGCCTGGTGCTGACAGAGGCGGTGGGTCGGTGGTGAGGTGTGGACCAACAAGTGGTGACCGAAGACCGTGGCGATGTTCAAGACATGCGGAAAAGTCCGTGTTCTTCAATCTTATAATATATACATATATATACGTGTCACAATACGATATATATACTATATATATATATATATCATCATTCTATATCTATCTATCTATTTGGGGGGTTCTGTCTTTCTTTTGAGCTCAAAATAGGGAGTCCCACGCAACTGACCCCCCTGGGTTCGCTTCGGGAACCAAATGGAATCAGTCTACCTTCTTGCAAGGTCTCCCCTAGCATATGCCAGGTGCGAAGCACACGCGCTCCCAGTCCCAACTCAGCACTGCACTCAAGGGTCGTCGGGGGTCTGCCAGGAGCTCCTGGTCCGGCACCCCTCCGGCACGGGGACGGCCCCGCCCCGTGGACCCATCACGGAGCTCCGTCCTTTCGGTCGAAGAGGGGCAAGTCTGGCAGCCTCGGCCGCGCCGAGCCGAGACGCCGCGCCGCATGCGAAGGGTAAAACAAAGCAAATCGAACGGTTTTGATCAAAGGAATCAAGAAAAAACCTTGGCCAAAGAAGTGCTTGACATGACCAGCTATTTTGAAGCTTGCCTTTCCGAATCACCCATTGTCCACAAATTCACCCTTGATGGATTCAAGGGTGAGTAAGAATCAATCATACCAAAACTGTCCACTCTGCATGATCAGCATCTCTCCGCCGCTCCGCTCCACGATCGCATCTCAGGAACAAGCAGTTTGGCCCACAGCTGACTTTTTGGTCCACAAATGAGCAAATCCATGTTGAATCATGAGGTCTTTTCTGGCATGCAGTTGACCAAGTTTATGCGCTAGACCCAAAGATGCCTCAACCTTGGATCGTTTTCTAGGAACAAGCAGCATCCATATCAAACAACACTCTAGGTGGCAAGACCCAATTCTCTTTGCAAATGAATATAACCAAGGGCTCACCACGATTTGTAACCACCAAATGCTTCAACTCAAAAAGACCGAAACAGGACCAAGCAGCACTGAAACAGGTCAAGCTGCTTCTGTGTGGGTTCCGCCCGAAGAATGAGTGCCTTTACAAGCCCTTTTCAAAGCCTTCGTTCAGGTCTCCACACTTGGGCCACGAAGAGGTTCCTCACCACTCCGGACCCCCAGAAATCCCCGAGTTCTTTGGATCCCGTCTGGTGGAAAATTCCTCACTGTGACCCAAACGTGGGCGCGCTCGGTCTAATCTCAGGCGCCGCGCTCGGAAAAGGTGGCCAACATGGCTGCAAGCGGCATGGGCGGAGACGACAGGCTTGGCCTCGGGCGGAGGCGTCAGGGCCTGAACATCCATCCCGTCGATAGTCATGGCAAGATGTCAAAACCTGCAGTTTGTTCAGAATGGCACGCATGTGGAGCATCTTGAGGTTTATGGTAACACCACCCATCTGTGTCTAATGTGCACCAACAAACTTGCTGCAAACGCACCAAGCCAGCCATCCAGCCCTTATGGCAACGCGCTAGGTGTCCCCCACTCACAGAAGTCCGTCACGAAGGCGCGTCGTGGCTCAGGGCACCGGGGTAGCAAATCCGGCGACCTCCAAGTCGCAGGGAATGATTAATTTCAAGGGTTGTCAGGTAGTCTTCATGCCGGAAGTTGAACCAAGCCTTCTACTTTGACCACACTCCAGTTGATTACCGATTTCAAGCCGATGTTCAGTCCACGGATTGATTGTTCCTTTCAAAAAGAAACGGTGTGTTTCCTGAAAACATCTGTTTTCCCATCATTGCAAGGACGATCTCTGTTGAATCATCCCCGTTGCTTCTGAGAAGAGAGGTCGAGCCCGCCGTGCTTGTCAATAACTGTCAGCATAAAATGGGTTGCAACAGGCCAGGGGTGTTTGAAGTCATTAAGTTTTGGGACAGATTGAGAGTTTATTGTAATTTTACTGAGTTATATAAAACGGGTCTGGAAATCAATGAACGTCCTGATTTAAAGTAAAAAAATACCGTGACGGAAATGTAGTCCTGAAACAGTCACGAAAACTCGGAAAATGAAAAATCCAACAAACGCGCATCAAGGAAGGAAACTTATATTTTGTGATGTTGCCTTTGGTTTCATCCAAGCTCCACTTGTGTTTCTTTTGTCTCTCTGCTCCACTTTGCCGGTTTCATTCCTGAACTCATGATTTGAGTGTTTTCAAAAAGGTCTGCGATGGTTGTACCTGGAATAAGCCTATACGTAACACAGCCATAGCAACTGTATTTCATAACTTTTTTTTGGCAACTTTCAACTTCTTTTGATATCTTTCAACCTCTTTCAACAACTTGTTTTAAGTTGCAAGTTTTTTTGCAACTTCTTCTAGAAGTCACAATGCTCAAACAAGGAAAAAAATTTACAGAAAATGTTAGTATTCGGTCAGTGTTCGGGCGACAAACGGTTGCATTTATAAATACAAAGAGAAACTTGTAGCTTTATATTAGTGTTCGGCCAGTGTTCGGACATGCATAATGACAAGTTCTTTAGAACATTGTAAACTTTTTGTAAAATTGCTTAGAGTTCTTTTTTAGTGTTCGGAAAGTTATTCCTTTAATCCAAAAGATTTAAAATGTGTATAAAACAAGATTGTTGCTGCGGAAAGAACATTGTCTATGCGGAAAGAACATTGATGATGCGGTTTGTGTGCATGCCTTTGCTTCTTGAAAACGCCCAAGTCATGATATACCACATCCAGAAAGATGCTCGGCGCAAGCACTGCCATATGCCACATGTCAGTAATGTCACACAACCGCACACTCGAAATCTGCAATTCTTCATCTTGTCCTGAGCGAAAGAAAAGTGGGCTTTCCAGTCAGAGGTTGAGGTGGCGCAAAAATGCTCCGTTGCCTCTAACTTGACAATGAATCTCACATCGATCCATGTGCTCATCATATTTCGGTAGTGCCCGTTTTGGACTCATGTTTGAACGAGTAAGTTTTTTGCGTTCATATTGCGCTGGAGTATAGAATTTTTTGGACCCAATCTGGCTGGAGGTGGCTGCAGGTCAATGTTGCCATGCTGGAACTTGAAAAATGATTTGTCAGAACGTTAGTGAAAGGAGTTGTTCTATTGTGATGATCTATAAACGTTAAATATATATATATGCAAATATATATATATCACTCTTGTTTTCCGCGAATGCTCAGGTGCCCTGCCCAGCTCTGCTGGGTTCAAGTTGCAACTGCACAAAAAGTGAAGCACGTAGACCACACAGCAAGCTGCCAAGTCAACAAGCTGTAGCGCGTTCGACATCAACTCAACTGCTCAGTGGTCCAGTGTTTCCAACTCTTCTGTCCTGCTCTGCACATTTGAACGCTTCAGGAAAAAGCTCCAAAATGAGGGTACCTAAGGAGGATTCCAGAAGACAGATACATCTGCGCGTTTCTTCCGTGAGGTTGAACAAAAACAGTTGAGCTGCTACTTCTTGTATATAATATTCGAGGGTACGCAGGCGTGACCAACGTCCCTTCCATTGTATCTGACTGATGTTTGAAGTCTCCAAATATTCGTGTGTTGCCCCACTACCACGAAGCACCCCTGGTGTGGCCCCTCTGTCAGATTGACGTCTCGGAATTCCAAGCCGGTCAAACAAACTATTCCACTGCCTGCGGAACACTGCAGTGGATGCTTGGAAGAGGGGGATGAAAGTGGTAGGGAACCAAAGATACAACGAATCAAGCAAACCAAACTCAAATCATCAATTCTTGCATGTTGCCGTCTCGCAAAACGTGCTGTTTTAGGATTGCGAATAAATACGTACAATGCTTTCTGTTGCATCAATGTATCTTCGGGGAATACCAGGTCCTGACGAGTGAGCGCTAGAAACTCGCTAGGGTGGAGCATGCCACCAAATCCTAGGGCAACAACTCCTGCAAAAGAATACCACCCCCAAAGCAATGCTACTGCTAACACTGCTCGCAGTACAGGTGCCGACAGGACCGCACGACACTGTCCAGGCTCCTCGAACTGCCATTTGAAGTCGACTTGCCACGCTCCCGCCAATGAACGGCGGTATTCGGGAAAAAGCTGTTGAACCGCAGTGATTGCGTACACAAGCAAGTATCGTGGTTTTCCCTCTCTGAAGAGCGCCAAACCATAAGCTTTCAAAGCCATGTTTGCGTTCTCAGCGGAGCTGCAAACAATGTCGAAATCAAGATCAGCAGCAGTGCACCACGCTCTGAAGGCCTCAAGGCATCTCTGCATACGAGTGGAGGTCGCTGTCGCAAACCCGCCAAGCAGATTCAACTCACCACGAGGAACATAGTCAGAGCTCTTCGCTGCAGAACGCGGAGGACCAGGATTCCGCTCAATATCCCCTGCCAACATTAGCAGGAGTCTAATCCATCGCCCAAGAGGCCTGGACCAGCGTGCTATTTCAACCATCTGATCAAAACCTTCTGTTCGCCCTTCTCGAAGTTCACGCAACCACATCGGCATCGGTCGCGAAGGTCCGGGAACCGGACAATCCCAAGAAGGGCCGTCGGCTCTGTTCCAAGCTGAACGGCAGTGCAAGGCTCCTGGGTAGAGACATCCACCCAGGATGTAGCCAAGGGATGTGCGAAGGATTCTGCTCAGAGCGGCAGATGAGCTACGACCTTTGGCCGCAGCACCCATGGTCACTCGACTGTCGAGAAAACTCACGATCCGCGACCTGGGATGTGTCTTGCAGCAATGCTTCAACCATGTCTTGTAAACTCTGCATTCAAGGCAATTGATGTGACCAGTCTTTTTAAACCTGAATCTGAACAGCTCTCGAAAGGAAAGGCTCTCGCAAATATCTTCAACCCAAAGTGGGTCCTCATACCAGAGTCTTCTGCCATCGTCGTCTCCAACAAAAGCAGGCTGAGGATGAACTTTTACTGCGGGTCCTGCACCGCTCTCCAAGGCACGCTTGCATCCCTTGGCCATCTCCTGACAGAGCGAACGGGGGTACGAGGCTGAAAATTTGCTCACGGCTTCTCCAGCTGTCGGGTATTTACCATACACTGTTCTCGAGTCGGGGACACACATAGCATCAAAAAGTTTGGCCGACGCCCTAGTGAAAGTACCTTCAATCGTGAAGTGATGTCCTTTGTACTTGCAAGAACATTGACCAGCGAAACTGTCATACCACGGCTTGTTGTGAAGCCACTTGCTAGGTTTCATAAATGCTGTGCCAAATGAACAGAAGCAAAACTTTGTGATTCTACACCCCCGATCAAGTAGGCGTTGGAAACACTGAAGCTCAAACATCACAGAACTGCCAGGCTGCTCACACGAAATAAAAGCACCACTCAAACACGCAAGTGTCAATAAAAATGCTGTTCGAATAGCCAGAAGCGTCTGTTCTCTAGTGATGGGGTCTGTCAACTGAAAGCCTGCAGGTTCACCCTTTGAACGAAGTCGAGGACGACGAAGGGTTCCGAACGACCAACATGGCGGGCCGGCATGCCAATCTTTAACACAACCCTGGTATGCTAGCTTAGCAAGCAGATGGAAAGTGTCATCATTTGAAAGATCGCCATACCCTCGACCCGTCGCTTCACGCTCAATACCTGGATGAACCACCAGATTTTGGGCCGCGTGAGCGGCACTCCAGTTTCCTTGCCCTGCAAACAATTCGATGCAATCATAAACTTTTGTAGTGTCCCTCAACTTTTGGGCCCCGCTGAGGGGGTTAGGAGTGAACTCAAGCGGAGGCTCCGAGTGTGTCGTGTCCCCAAACAACTCTGTGTGCTCAAGACCTAACTCTCGAAGCGCTGCACCCGCACCTTGTTGTAAACATGTGTAAAAACCTCTTTGTTCCGTGTGCCTCCAAAGCTCTTCTGCGCCAGTGCTGCTGAACGCTGCTTGACACAGTCCTCCTCCGAATGGGGAGGCGTCTAGCATGTACAGATTGGGCGCGACCTCAACGCGCATGTCAGTCTGCATGCACGGCGCCAGCAAGCAAAGGAGAAGCAGCTCATGACGGCATTGCGATGACATTCGGAACACCAGGTCTGCAGGGAAACTCTCGCCCTCATGATAGACCTTGTCCAAAATGGCAAAAAGAGGTCTTCTGAATAACAAGACATGTGTCCAACAGCCCAAAAGTCCTTGTAACAACTGCCTGGTTAACAAACCCTTGCAAATGACAATGCATGTGATGTACGACAACAACGCTATTCGTTCTCTGGGAGCAGAACACCGCCCACGTGAGCCATCGAGCTCGGCTCCAAGAACAGTTGCATGTGTATCTCTTCGACGCATCTTACCTGGGTGTGCAGTTAACTTGACAGTT